TGGGTTTCTTTAACGCGCACCCAAATCTGAGCACAAGGGCCTACAACATTTCCGCCTCTATCGGAGAAATAGGCATTGCAGGCAAGAACTTCGTCAGCAATGCAAGTGCTCAAATTGCTGGAGCAACCGGCACTTGGTGGTTCGCGTACATCGCGGATTTTTCCAGACTGAACTTCATTAACTTCTTTAAATTCCCAGAAAGAATGAATAAAGTGGGACGCGCTGATGTTGCAAAAAACATCATCATGCGGCCCGCACGTCATTAGTGTAATGCAGTAAAGGACAAATTGTTTTCCACAGACGCGTATTTTAGCTGATCACGAGACCGTTTTTTTGTTTGTTTTATTTTTCGGACTGAAAGTAGCAAGGCAGGGGTGCTTCAGCTACCAATAATTAGTATCGCTGAAGTACATTGCCTGGTGGCTCTTAAAAGCCATTGGTTTCGCGGATTTGCGGCGAAATCGGAATCAAGAATTGGCACATTGCACCCAAAGTTTTCAAATTAACTGGACTTGTGCTGAAATTACCCGCTCAAACTAACATTTCAAAAGGCGAGACCACAGAAACACTTCGAATTAAGTGGAATTTCAAAACAACCAAGTTTAAATTAACAAGGTTTTACTGTAGCACGTTTACCTAACTTTTGTTGGCAATTGATTTCATTATTTCTGCTCTCGATCACAGCATTAACTTCGGCCTATTTCAGGTTCTTTCGAATTTCACTTGGAGAAGTTGCAAAAGGGGTTCTTCAACGGCAGAGTGGTGACAGGAGCATGAGCTAATGGTGGACAAGATGAATGTCAATTAAAGGGGTGGAAGAAGGGGAAGACAATGCTCGTGTGGCGGTTCATGCCAGTACATCTCTCACACTACACTGTTTATACTTTTATACACATGTAAATGTGTGCTGGGGCATCGTTGCGTTGTCTCTCACACTGCAGTTATTTTACACCCTTGAAATAAATATTGTTGGCTCTACTTGATATATGAGAAATAACTGTACAATGACAGAGCTCTGCTTACAGACAATAAATTTTATTTTACCCAAATTAACGATACAATATCCTATTGGCATCTGATGCGCAAGCTGTGTATATCGAAGCCATATCATGCAGTTTGCACCTTGACCCAATTTTCAGGTCGTGGCATTGGAAACCGGCTGTGGCGGTCACATTTTCGATGGAGGCGAAAATGTTTGATGCCTCTGTACTTAAACTTAGAAGGACGTTAAAGAACCTAAGGTGGATGGAATTTCCGGAATCCTCCACAATGGCATTTCTCACAATAATATCGTGGTTTGGGATAATAACTCTCAACAGATATTTGACCACAATTCCGCGTGACCAGCCGTATCACATAGCATCCGTAATACCACATTTGCGTTTATATGGATGCCATATGTGTGAAGGTTTTTGTGCGACAGCCGTATATACGAATCGTGCAGATGCCGCATCAAGCGAATCCGTTCCATGCGGATCCGTAATACCATAATTGCATTTGTACGGATCCGTACCCTCCGTACATACGAATCTATTCACTAGGGTTGACCTATAGATATCAAAATGCTCACGTTAAATAACTATTCACGCGCATTGTCTACAGTCTGTGAGGTGGTTTTGAGGGAAGAATTCATACAAGTTAAAATTTTATGCCCATCTTCTGTTAGCAATCAATCTTTGCTAGCCAGTATAGTTCAGAAACAATGTTTCACCAATATTCCTGGAAAGGCATGTCCTGACGTTTTGCTCGTTATCGTTTGCGAGAACAGCGCGTACTCACCGCATCGTGAACATTGTCGCATAATGTCCAGCATCACATATTGCAGAAAGAATGAAGACACAAATGAGATGTTTTATTTTTGTTTTGTTCTTTTACATCTTTATTATACAAGACATGACGTTGTCTTGTGTGGTACGCTTCGCTTAGTCGCTCTGTCGGAAGTCCTCCGAAGTGCCGTAACAACTTAAAATGCCTGAAAGATGAAAAAGTGATCACTTTCTTGAGCCTGCAGCTAGCAGTGGAGGTGGTCGAACTGGGACGAGTAGACATCCACTGCCAAGATTAAAAGGGCTCTGAAAGGAAGGAAGAAAAGAACAAGTGGAAAGACAGGGAGGTCAACCACTTTTTAAACCAGCTGGCTATACAGTGTGCTGGGGGAAAGAGTAAAAGAGATAAATGATGACAAAAAAGAGAGCTTGTAAAAATTATTAAGAGCAAGGAAAGGACATCAGGCCTTGCGCCCATGTGCTTTTGCAGTGCACATACATCCCAGGTGTGTACACACAGGTTATGTAGATGATGGCCGTGTGCAGTATACTCTGGTGGAACGTCGATGAGTGACGTTGAGTTCAATCCGTTATGGAGCAGCTATGGTTGAACAGAAGTTTGGGGCAGACTTGGCGCCTTTCCTAGGGTAAGGGCATCAGGGAAAGAAGTAGGGGAGAGAGAGAGAGAGGGCACCTTCCCTCTTCTGTGCAAGTCCATGGCCGGTGCTACCGACCGGAGGTCGGTCAGTTTCGGCCCTGCAACAGAGTTCGCTTATTGGATGCCTAGCTGAAGACTCGCGATGCCTTAAGAGGTAGCTGAAGCACGCGATATGAAAGTGACAACAACCACAAACGTTGACATGTGGAAACAACATTTATTGCTCAATATAATGTATATACAACGTGCGCGAAAAATTCGTAGACTACCGAAAGTAGACATATTTAAAAAAATGCAAATGGGGGCGAAAAAGCTGCTTCGCTTTTTACTTTGTTTTTGTTGTCTTCTTTCTGTGTGAGTGTTACAACTCCGCTGTAAAACGGCGAAGGTGAGGATAAGATAGCAGTGTCAGTACTGTGAATTCATGGTGTGCTGAATGCATATTCGCTGGTGCGGCGTGCATGAAATTTTTAAGCCGTGTAACTGAAAGGAAGTATAGGCCTGAAGAAGTGCGAAGAATTTGATGAATGAAAGTTTGCGCTAAAGATGACCTGCGACAAAGTAATGGGCTCTAGGCCGTCTAGATGAGGACATTGCATAGGAAAGCGGCCCGTACTGGCATCAGAAAGAGGGGAAGGATCGCGATGAATCTTCAGAGTCCTTAAGGCGAAATCCCGAGATAATGAGATGCGTGGTAGCTTCTAGAGAAATGTCGGTACCCAGTAGGTTAGCTACTAATATCACACGAACAAAAGCTTTTTTTTAGCTTAATGAAAAGGGTTAGTCTCTGAAGGCAGTAGACGTAAAAAAACATTTGCTTTCGCAATGGCAGGAGACATTGGCGAGATGTACAAAATAAGTGCTTCCAAATACTGCTGCAATGATGATATGATGAGCATATGATTCGGTCGGGGTAACTTTTGTAATAAAGGTGTGGCATCTATCGCGTTCCCGAGCTACAACTTTTAAACCGAACTCAAGAAACACTTTAGGAACTCTCTTTTTTTATACATGCGAAAGTCACATGTACAGCACTCTGTTTAGAGAGTCACTTGACTCTATTTTCGAAATTCGCGCGTCCAGGAACTCTTATAAAGAGTGTCAACGTGCTTCTCCAACAAGAGTGCTACATCAGTTACTCTCGCACGTGCACGTAAAAGGAAAGCCAAAGGACCCCTTGTTTATTGTCTTTTGTTTTTATACAGTGCACATTGACTGTAATATTCTGGTATTTCTCGTAGTGACCAATAATTTCATCGATGTGCATGGTCCGGGTAATGACTTCATCAAGGTGTTAAATCACCCCCGAAGGAGTTGAAGCTCGTGGTTTTGTGATATCTCATGTTTTTTTTTAGATCTATTTGTGCACCCAAAGTGATCTCTCATTTAGGTTACACCAATACGCGTTAAAGCGCACCTTCAATAAAAGGTTACCGTGATACCACCATGTATCTAAAATACCGTGGATGCAACGTGAATCTGTGAACGCTAAGCTTCTCATGGCTATAACAAAAATGAGAAGCGAACAACCCGCAAGGAGGTTCTCTACATAGACCCAGCAACCAAAGCGTGGGCGATCGGGGATGAACTTGAAATGTGATAGGCCTGTGACCATGACGTAGAACATGCGCACTGTTCAAGAAATAAAAGGGAGATAAAAGGAAGTAAGGATAGGACAAATAAAAACGGAGACATCTCGCGTAGAAGCTAAGATAAGATAACGGAGCTCCAAAGGCCGTGAGACAACGTACGGAAGACACGTCGGAAAATTATATTCAATAAATATGAAAGATTGATAAGATGCGATAGCATCATGCTCTCAGCTTAGTAGGAAAACAAAAGCGCAAGTTTTTTTTTGCAGCGATAAGAACATCCCGTAGCTTGTCGTAAGGGAGTGGCAGCTCGAGGTTTTACCCGTTGTTAATAGAAAGGTGCATCTAGGCATGTTAAGTGTTATAACATGGGCCCTTGCTATACCGAATGCGCAATTTGCTTCCGTCAGCACTAAAAAGAAACACAATTTATACTCGTCTGATCATTCAACACCAACGCACGCAAGAAAAATCTAACGTAAAAATAAATATCTCAACGAGCTGTAAAAATCTCTCGAGTTTTTGACAGGGGACGGACGATGAGTGTCGATGCGAACTCAACAAGTAAAGCGTTTTGTTCAGTGATTTCAGCCAGGACATCAAGCGCGAAAATGAAACTGCGTCGAGGGAAACGGAACACAAGCGAATGGGTTCGGGTTTGTTTCCGTTCTCTTTGGATGTGTTGCAGCAGTGCTTGACCGCCGTAGTAACGTTTCTGTTATGTTTGCTGCATATTATAATATATTTATATTATCCCACATGGTGTAAAGTTTCACCACAAATAAAGAACATAAAATGTGCTTGTCTCAGTGCTAGAATACTGGGCTGGGTCGCATTGGGCCGGGTGCAAGATCTACTGTGTCCTCGGTATTTTTTTATTTGTTGGGCTTCTGTTTTTCTAGGGCGTGCGATAGTGGCTACATAAACCGGCGGACTACAGCGCCGTGCGTGACCCGCGTGTTCGGATCTCGTAATAAAATTCACTGTAAAACAAGTGTTTATTTCGTGTAATCTCTGCACTGCAGAGTTTCCTGCGCTGCTGGAACTTGGTCTGTCGCGGCTTGCAGGGGCTGCAGCACCGCGAGAGCCACGGGAGCGGTAACTTGCAGGCGATTGCATTGAATCCTCAGCAGGTTGTACTCCACGAGAATCAGTCCACGCTGACTTGTACTTCCCGAACAATCTCGGCGATTCTCCACTGTGCGCACACATATTCCTGGAGACGCTTCATTGGTCCCTGCATGATGGGCAAAGAGAAAGGGGGAGGTCAAATAAGTGAGTAAAAGGAAGATCATTAAAGGAAGATCCACAGTGTAGTTGGTTCGTGGCAAAAACTCTTTCAAAGGGTGCAAATACTTGATCCAGCAGGATCACAAATTTTCAATTTCTAAATCGATAGAACGCATGGTCCCTGCTGTGTTGAGTTGAAGGGGGATAAGAAATCTCCGAGTGTACTATTCATTATCTCGACCATCGTTCTTGATGTGGCATTTTAAGGACTGTGTAGCAGTTATCCTAATAACACAGTTAGTTGTGAGACCCCCTCTCTTCTACGAGAGTGTTTAACTCTACGGCTTCTTGTGTATTATCAATCGTGTGAATACTTCCTGGTAAACTCACAATTTTCTAGCGGTCACGCACGTTACTCATAACTATCACTGTCGAAGTGTTGTTTTTGCATACAATTGATCGTGCTATTTTCAAATAAAGTGCAAAGGACACTTTGTATGGTTAGTCTCAGGACATTAACAGCTCTGCACAGGAGCATTTAAATTTTCACAAGGATATGAATTGGCCACATCTGGAACACGTAACATGGCAAGCACCCATAAAAGTTTTCAAGAGATAAGTCTGACTTCGTGGAAAAACATATTGGTCAACTATAAATCGAAATGAGATTCTTCCATATCATTCTTGAGTATTAATAGCAATCCTGATTGTGTTTATGAGCCTAATTCGTGGGTCCATGTGTTGCAAGAAGGTTCATTCTGTCGCTGAACAGCATCAAATTGCACCTACCTGGAAACGGTCTTCTATGATAGTGCAGAGGATCTCTGTTGTGGTGAAAGGCCACTGTTTTCCAAATGCAGAGAGTGCCTCTGCCTGCGACTCGCTGTACAGCGGCACTGCTGGGGGCACCGAAACCCCGGGAAACAGCTAGACAAGGTCGTTTATTTGGTTCTGGAACCAATCACGGTTGAAGATGGTGCCGGCCTCGGAATGCAGGTTGCACAGCAGCACCCCGAACAGCACGTAGACGTCATCCATGGTGGCAGGAGGTTCTGGTCCAGTCATTCCTATCCACGGCTGCTGGCTAAGCACCATCCTGTTGATCTTCACTGGTTCCAGCCACAGACCATCCTCGTCAGAGCCTTCCAAAACCTTATGGGCCAACGAAACGACATTTTTGAGCAGGATGTTCGTCTCCCAGACTCTACTCCATGCGTAGCTTAAAGAACAAATCAGTCTGATTAACTGTCGGCGTCATGCGTTATAGGTCATATTCAACCAGCTGTTTGCGGAAAAGTGTCATGATATTTCTTTGTGCAATAGTCTTTTCTTGTGGATTCTGTCATAATCACTGTTATTTCTGCAGGACAGCCAGATACGACCAATGAATGTATTGAGGACAGCTCTGCATCCCAAGCTCAGATAGCATAATGAGATTGCGTAGGTTAATGATGATCCAGACGTGCCGTTGGTTCGGGCTTGACTAACGCATGTACTGAACGTATTTTTCGAATGAGGACATCGTCGACGTATTGCAAGGTAACTAACTGTACTGGCATAGCACGACGCACAATCACGACAGCTGATTGGTGGAAGAGGATGCTAAACACATAATACAACGAGAGGACCGGCCACAACGTGGTCGCAGGTACTCGTTAAAGCTTTCTCCAGATTGGCTATGCACCTTGAGGTCAGGGGTGATCAGGCTCCGCTGATCATCAAGTTGCATCCTATTCACTCCTTCAATTTGTGTGCTCGCGACAGTAGTGATACAAGTGAGCTCACGCTTAGTACTGTGCAGCATGGGTCGTTTTTTTTTTTTTGTGAGCACTGCACAGTTCTATGTATGAATTAAAACCAGCAATGTAGTCAGCTTTTTCATTCTGTACAAGTGAGCGCTTGGAGGACAGTGGGCACAATCGCTTAACTTGGGCACTGTTCTTAATTTTTAACCCTTTGGCTTGTTGATAACGTTCTCAGTAGTAACGATTGTAGATACTAGCGGCGATAAGCTTTTGTACAAATGCTGCGTCAGTCACAGAAGATCCAATAGAATGGCAAAATCGTTTATAGCCACGTGTTCTTGGCCTAAAGAACGATGCCGGATCTGCGTTAATCCCCGTTCCAATTGAGTGGTGAACTCACAGACCGTTTTATCAGCACATTTTTGGCATCATGGTACTCTGCTTAGGCAAAATCATTTCATCCGTTGTCTTGTGGCCATTTGGTGTCACGCGTGGTGTCCCCTTTAACCGCCAAATCCATTGAATTGTCTTGAATTTCAGCAACGTCGTCAAACCGCTTTAAATGAACGCGTCAGAAGACAACGCCAAAGTGTGTTCCGCATGGCTGCAGCTAGACATATACTCTATAATACCTTGACGCGTGCTGAATGCGAGCTGCGTTTTTCGATTTCCCCCTGTATCTTTACAGGACACGTGTTAGAGTTCTGTAACCTGAAAGCGCGTTTTCCACGTGAAATTATATAAATGTTTTTAGCATGATACTATTTAGTATATCACTTTTTTCTGATATACAAGCGTTTGTGCGACACGACAGTCAAGACTGAAGATCTCTAGCCCTTATGATCGAGGCATACACAAAACAAAACGCTCATGTTGGGACACACTAGATACCAGTTGGCAATAGCGTGAGCTTCCTACAGTCAGCCAAAAACCTAACCGCTTCTGCGGACTTTCAAGCAGCGAACTACACCTGTGCCTGTCTTGTTGGTGCCGTGATTACAGCTGCATACGATATTCAACAACACACCTTTTGTTCTGAATTACAAAACAAACGAGGTCGCGTTGATTTAACGTGGAACATCTAAGACGCTTTGCATTGTCAAGAGGACAGCGCAGGCCGTGGCAGCCTACATCGTCGTGCACAGTGTCCCGAGCGCTGTTATGAGCGAGGAGGACGCGTGCGTTGGAAAACACACGCTGATGTATGCGTACGGCCGGGTGAGCGGATCCGTACACGCTTCAAGGAGAACGACTGGTTCGAGCTCAGAGGGTGAATTCGCTGCATTCGACGTTGTACCACCAATCGCAGACACCCCTCCGCTCGTTGAAGATGGTGCCGTTGGGACAGAGGAAGCTGTGTCTCGCTCCCAGGTTAGGAACTCCGGTGCACATGTGCCACACCTGAAAAGAAAAGAAAAAAGAAATGCACCAGGGCTCTCGCACGTGACTACTTCGAGGTTTGAAATCCAAATAAGGTAAACGTTCCAGGGAACACGGGATTTAAGCTTGAAAGAAAAATCTTTAGGACACGGAGCGCCTATGGAGCCGACTTTGCGACAAAGAACCTGCTTTCTTAAAGTTGTAGCCTCGAAGAAGTCATGTCTGATTACTAAAACGCTGAGCTCCGGATACCTCCCGTGGTACGATGATTTCCGTGGCTGCTGTACGTTCGGTTACTTTTTTTAAACACACAAAAAGTTCATTTTGACTTGTCTCTCCCATAGTAGAATACAATGTACTCTAAATCGTTTAACACTTTTATTCTAAACTAGAAACGTACAAAAGTGTGACAGAGGTCACGTAATCGGTTCTTCTTAGCGTAGCCTCGGGACGGTTTTAAGCTCTCCCATAGTAGAGTAACTAGTGCTCTAAATTGTTACACGCTTTTTTCTAAACACACAAAAAACGTAATGCTTATGCATCTCGATGAAGAACTAGTTGTGCTGGGAGAGGAAGCTTTTCCTCCGACGCTGGTCAACGCGATTCATTATTGTAAAAAACAACAGAGTGTCCGTGCCTTTCCTTCCAATTGAGGAGGTGGGCTAAAGCTTGTACCACTGTGACATTACAGTGCGAATTCTCCTTTTCTTCATTAAAAACGTCTTTTTTGTGCAATATTGTTCTTGAGCACGACAGAAAACTGTCCTCACAGGTGAATAAAAAAAAACATCACCTTACACTGTGAGTGACCCCCTTGTTTGTGCATATAGCCTTACTGTTTATATAAGCTTAATCATCTCGATGTTCATGAATGTCCTGTTTTTGTTGTACAATTTTTGCATTGTACATCACTGCAAACGCAAATAATTTATTTTCACTGTATACAACAGCTTGCACTGTACATACACATGATCATCATTGTCCATCTTTCTGTGTGTACATAAGCTATATGAGATATATGTGGAAATAAAATTCTTTTAAACGCAACCATGCGTTAGTTCAGGAGGCAGCGCAAGAAGCCTACGTACGGGACGGCTTTATGTTCTCCCATAGTAGAGTACCTAGTACTCTAAATCGTTACCCACTTTTTCTAAACAAACGGGACGGCTTAGTTATCTCCCATAGTGGAGTACTAATTACTCTAAATCGTTAAACAGTTTTTATAAACACAGCTCATGTGCCTATGCTGGGACGGCTCTCTGCGCCGTGCGCATCCATAGTTTGAGTACAAAGTACTTGCAATCGTCGAACACTCTTTTTTAAACAATCGCCATCAGACGTGAGGCCCACGAGATAGCTCTATGCTCTCCCATAGTAAAGTACTTCGAACTCTAAATCGTTAACATTTCCGAACACTTCCAGTGTTGTAAGTTAAATCGTGTCTGGGGGTCTCTTGTTTGTACGCCCCACTGAAGTCATTTTGTTACACGGTGCATTTGTACTCACATGAACTGCTGTTACCAGTATGCAATAAATTTCATGTTTTCAACCTTGCGGTGTCGAATTCAGTAAGTAAACTACCCCGAGAAAAACACTTCATGAACTCGTACTGCTTTCACTGAGGCAACGATCCAAATTTCGTAGTATATTGATGGAGCTTCCACTTCACACGTAGCAAACAACACAAGGACCGTGCGTCAACCGATGAAGACAGCTGTTAGAAGCGTCGGCTTTCACTCGGTCCTTGGCCTGTGTGTGCTCTGCGCTAGATGCCGAAATAGAATACGAACATGCCTGAACTCATTTCGTATCAACAGTGGTTCCACCAACTATGCAAATTTTCTTGCCACCACATTCCTGTAAGTAAAATTTTCCTTCAGTCAGGTTTCTTTGAATTCTTACTTTATATCATGCTTAAAACTGTTACGAACTGTTTCACAAAGTGAGCAATATTAATATCGTTACACAAGGAGGTTCCACCAACTAAGCGGAAGGTTTTTTTATTTATCCACTCCGCGGAGCATACCTTAGTTGACATTCCTGTAATTTTTATTGCATATCTCTCTCGAAATCGTTCGAAGCAAAGCTCCCTAATTAGGGGGGAAATCATAATCTCATTGCACATAAAAGTTATAACAACTAAATAAAACACCCATACTGAAAGTTTGCCCGTCATAAATTACCACAATCCACCATTGTGGCATAATTAATGTTCTCTATTTCAATGTTGCAGTGACATTGTGGAGACTAGGTGAACGTTCTTTTGTGCCTCAAATAATGTGCAATTAATCCCGCTTACTTACCATGCCCCCCCCCCCAACCTCATCCCATGAGCTAACGGAAAAGCTATACGTCTGTACGTTCAGTTGACTACCCTGGGCAGGGATCAAAAGGTAATAATATCTGTGAATTTACGTCACTAAACTCCGATATGATTATGATGGACGCAGTAATGGAAGACTGCGCAAATTTCGAGCATCTGGCGTTCTTCAAGGTGCATTGATATCAACCAAGTACACGGGCTTCTACCTTATCAGCTCCATCAAAATGTGACCGCCGCTATGGGATAGAACCGCGGTCAGCAGCAAAGCACCACAATCACTGTTCCACCCAAGGAGGTTTAAAAAAAATGCTGGAGTGGAAGCTCCCGGAATGCTTTGGCAGCGGTAGTGAAGCCAGCTTTTGCCCTCCAAAGATTTCAGAAACATGCTATTTTCTGGTGGTGCCCTTAGACATGAAGTGGCATTGATTTGTTAGTCTAAAGGCTACGTTTTTTATAACTTAAAGGAGAGTCGTTTCTGAATAAATAACACGCAGAGACTATTATCGGTGAGTTAATCTAAAAAAATTGCCTTGAATTCAAGGCCTACTAAAGAAAATTAGTAACACAAGGACGCAATTCGAGCACTATCTGACCCGAAGAGGTTGCCACGTGAAACTTGTTAGGCGTGCGAAAAAACGCCCCTTCTCAATCGCCGAATGCCAACAGCTCATCATGCCCATAGTAAGATGGCTGCCGCAGCCGCCTTCTTACGGTTGGCACGGCTTCATTTGTGGGCAAGAATTTCCACCTCAGCAAATTTTTCTTAAATCTTCTTGGCTCCACTAGGGCTGATGGAGTTAAAGGAGGGCAGTGGTTCTCAGCAACAGCTGCACATAGTATCTTCTCTGGGCCAGAAGAGACACCTACTGTGGAGATCTGTTGGTGTGTTTCACAGCAATTTTTCTGTCTCTGTTTGAGGTAGTCTACTGGACGCAGAGTCAAAGGTTTCGAGGGGGAGACGACATCACATGCCATGCCTCCTCCACTACTAAATCTTTTGCCATTAGAACAGGCGGGGAAGACCATGCTGCTTGGACTATTGAGCAGCGATGAAATGATCATGTTATTTGTCACTGTTCTCCCTACAGCACGTACAGACTGCCGCTATAGCTGCTGTTTTAGCCAGCCTTGACGACAGACGCTTGTCAGAACAGTGCTCGAATGCTGACACGATCTGCCTTCGTGCAGAAAAACAGTTAAGGCCTTTTTCAACGTTTTGCTTGTTAGTGGCCTATTTATTGCATAAGCTGTAGCAGTGCCACTCTTGTTCTTTTTTTTTTTTCGTCCGCTGTCCTTCCAACCTTTCTTTTCTTTTCCGCGTCCATTCGGTGCTGGGTAGCAACGCGGATGGCCCCGCCGCGGTGGTCTAGTGGCTAAGGTACTCGGCTGCTGACCCGCAGGTCGCGGAATCGAATCCCGGCTGCGGCGGCTGCATTTTCGATGGAGGCGAAAATGCTGAGGCCAGTGTGCTAAGATTTGGGTGCACGTTAAAGAACCCCAGGTTGTCGGAATTTCCGGAGTCCTCCACTACGGCGTCTCTCATAATCATATGGTGGTTTTGGGACGTTTAACCCCACATATCAATCAATCAATCAATCAATCGATCGATCGATCGATCGATCAATCAATCAATCAATCTGCGATGCGGATGCTAGAATTCTAGTTTAACTCCTTGCCTTTCTCTCATTTCAATATCTCTTTCTTTCATCATTGTGGGGGGTTATGATAATAAGCAACGGACAAATTTTCAACTAAGATATATTTTCAAATTTTTAACTAAGATATATTTAAAAGTGACACTTTGTGGAAGCTACCTGGAAAGAGGTTATGAGTGACGCGGCATACGCTAGTCAGAATACATCTTGTCAGTACACGAACCTGGCAGCCAGCGTCGGGGTCGGCGTACATGCCGGGAAACTGCTTGTCGTTGCAGTCGAAGCCCGTGGTCGGGATGCGGTGGAAGTTGGGGTAGTCGACTCCCGGAATTCCCTTGCGAGGTCCCCGGCTGCCCATGATGCGCTGCACGCCCTTGCGGCCGCTGGAGTCGTGGTGCTTGCGGCCTTTCCGGAAGTGACCGTCGTCGTCGTAATCGTTCGTCAGCGGCTTTGTCTGTCAACGGGGAGCAGAAAGGGGTGGACTTAAAACACAGGGCGATTACCGAAAGCGGGCAATACAGTAACGAGATAAAGTCAGCAAGTTTTAAGCAGGCTTTTATGTGTAACAGTGCTCAAGCAAATAGCCCTTAATAACTCCCGGCTTATGCGTCCGTTCTGGCAGTTCGACATGTTTATTTGGAAGAACTCTGAACAAAGAAGACATCATGTGATATAAACACACAGATATCAATGACAGACGAGTATTCCAAGAACGAGGTGGGAATTGAAGAGCGTTGACTTCAACTCAAACCTCCCTCGAATTTTTAAAAATTTTGCTTGCGTGTATCGGCACGCAAATATGCAAACACATGCACGAGCATACATCAATATAATTAACCTACCTCGAAAAAATTTCTGGCTACACTACTGGTTCGGGGTGTGACGCCTTTCCTCTCGTGTCCGTATAGTGGCTAAAAAAGGTGTCCGTGTTTTTGGCATCCGAGTCTTTTAAGAGAAACTCCCGACATACCTTAGACTTCTTCGATCCGAAGCGAGGCGCGTTCTTGCGGAACGGGGGCGCCTCGGTTTTGGGCGACGCGTACATCTTGCGAATGTGCGGCGGCGCCTCGGTGGTGGTGATGCGGATGATGGACGGCTTGGGCACGAACCCGTCCAGCGAGTACGCGGGGGGCCTCGTGGGCTTCGGCTGTCGCAGCTTGAGCAGAGGACGCGCCGTGGACGGCTGAGAGATGGCGTTGGGACGGAACCGGCGAGACGCCGGCCGCCGGGGCACGGGCCACGCCACCGCGGGGCTGAAGTCCGACGACGACAGCTCGAAGATGTCCGCCTGCTTGAGCACCGACTCGAGCACCGCCTGCCGCTTCACCTGCGTTCGTGGCACGTGACCACAAGGCATAATGTTGAAAGCTAGAGTATCAACGGTGAAGTATACGTACAAGTTGTTTCAGTTAACTTGCGCCTATAGTGTTACAACTCTGAACACGTACGCTACACGTGTTGAAATGGTACCGCATTAGTCTAATCCTTACGCATCACGTCCCTCAAGCTGGGCAATTAAGAAAGATTGGTAAATTGGCTTTTTATTCAGAACAAAGATTGGTTAATTGGCTTTTTATTAAGTAACTCTAGCAAGGAAGTTTAAAAGTTGAAGCACTTCTGTATGTTTCATCTGGGCTCAGCTAACTGCCAATCCGATGGGCTGATAAGTCAAGAAAAATTGTCTGATGACGTTTTTGAATGGTAACCTTAACAAAAGAATATTCAACAGAAAAGTAACGTCTTTTATGTAATGTCTGATTACTTCAACGGTGCTAAGACAGCTGTGCCTCCTTATTTTTCTTCTACCTTTTCGCCAGGGTATGCAAATTCGTGTATACTTGGCATACACAAATTCGCTGAGACACACTCTATACATACTACAATATTTCTCTCAATATCCATCTATCACGCCTTTTTTTTGCGTTAAACAAAGAGCGAGAGATAAAGCAAATAAAGAAATTCAGAATTCATATCACTCTTTTTTCAATGTACCATGCGTTTGAACCACATTTAGCGCACATGCAATAACGATTTTATTTCCTTTTTATTTGTTATAATAGCGATGGATCCCCCAACGGTCGAGATCGACGTAAAAGCTGCACTGAGACAGCTTGAGGTGTTTACGTTCCTGCATTACATTGTGGCTCAGAGTCACAAATTGTTTTTGCAGAAAGATGTTTTCTTAATAAAATAAAATATACGCTTATTGATTCTATATGCCTGTCAGCCAATATTTTTATAGAATTTCCGGCATGCATCTGTTCTTCTAAAGTTGACTGCGGCTTCTTTACACAACAGAATAATTGAATGAAATATGCACCCCATTTTTCTCCAGCTAGGTTTAAGCGGTTGTCAATATTGTCACTCATATGGCACCGAATCTCTGAATTCGGACAAGTAAATTATGACAGAAAAGTACGAAATTTATATGAACTTAAAGCTATTAAAACCATGAAAGCATGAAACTATAAAATTTTCATATGAAGTTGTACGAACAAAAGTGGTAAAGTGAAATCGTACACAAAAAGCATAATAAAAGATTATCGAAGAAATGACAATTTTAAGGACGTGTTTTTCTTTAGAAAAAAGCAAATTAGAGCTAACACAAAGAAAAATCAAGGATCCTTGGCTTTTTTGTATGTTAGTTCCAGTTAATCAAAAAAAACACTGTAAGTTGAACTATATGTTACTAACGTAAATTTAAATGCAGCCAGATAAAGCTGACACTGGATGATATAAATCCAACTCAGAGGACCTTATCTACTTAGAAGTACTTGTTGTTGGGCTAGTTGGTTCGTCATACTGAGGGGTAATTCTACAGGTTTTCCCGCTCAATTTAATCCAAGCGCCAGCCAAATTAATCTAGGCGCCAGTCAATTTAATCCAGCCGCCACTGAAATTAATCCAGGTGCCATTCATTTTAATCCAAGTGCCACTGAAATTAATCCAACCGCCAGCCGATTTAATCCGGACGCCAGTGAATTTAATCCTGATGACATTGTGACTTCAAAACGACCCAGAATTTTCGGGAATGCGTGGAGTGAATAGTTTTGGAGTGAATTTAACAGGGAAAAGCCATGAATGAGTCACTAGTGACACAATGCGACTCGCGCGACTTTATCACGCCTATCACCCGCGTAAGCACTATTCACACCCTCGACATGCATATCAAAGGAAAAGCCGTCCACACAGTAATAACTTGATAATTATTAACCAGGCCAATGATCTCATCACGAGTGACTTAGGGGACGTCCTCACGCATATCACCTACGCACGCACTGTCTTAACCTTCCGTCATGCATATCAAATGTAACGTCTTTGAAAGGGCGGGATCTTGATACCTAAAACTCGGCCAAGTCACCTGATAACCAGTTCCTCAGGGGACGTCATCACAAATATCACCCGCACACGTAATTTACTCGCCTACCGACATGCATACCAAACAAAACGTCTTTGAGAGAGCGATAACGTGTTACCTATGACTCGGCCAACTGACTTGATCACTTGTGATTTGGGTGACGTCATCACGCCTATCACCCACGCACGCAATGTCTAACCTGCCATCATGTATACCAGACGAAACGTCTTCGAGAGGCTAATAAATTGAACGCTGTCAATCGGCAGAGTGACGTGATCACTAGTGACTCGTGTGACGTCATCGCGTTTGACACCCACGCACGCAGCGTCTAACCCGAGTTCATACTTATCAAATGAAACGTGTTTGAGAGAGTAATAACTTGAACGCTGTCACAAGGCCCAGTGACGTCATCACTAGTGACTGGCGTGACGTCATCACGCATATCCCACACGCACGCAGTGTCCAAACCTGTCTTCATGCATATCAAACGAAATGTCTTTGAGAGAGTAATAACTTGAACGCTGTCACAAGGCCCAGTGACGTCATCACTAGTGACTGGCGTGACGTCATCACGCCTGACACCCACGCACGCGGTGTCCTAACCTGTCTTCATGCACATCAAACGAAATGTCTTTGAGAGAGTAATAACTTGAACGCTGTCACAAGGTCCAGTGACGTCATCATAGTGACAAGCGTGACGTCATATCGCCTAAGACTCACGCAAGCACTCTCTAATGTGCCTTCATGCATATCAAACCAAACGTCTTTGAGAGAGTCATAACTTGAACAATGTCACTAGGCCTAGTAACGTCATCACTAGCGACTCACGTGACGTCATTACGCCTGTCACAGACACACGCGCTGTCCTAACCTGTTTTCATTCATATCGAACGAAACGTCTGTGAGAGAGCAATAATGTTATACTTATGACTCGGCCAACCGACTTGATCACTATTGACTCACGTGACGTCATCACGTCTATCACACACGCACGCGCTGTCCTAACCTGTTTTTATGCATATCGAACGAAACGTCATTGAGAGAACATTAACTTGAAGGCCGTTGCAGGCAGCGTCTGCTAGTAAAAAACTAACTTCTCGCGCTGCACAGCCGTTCACCAGCTAACCGGTATACGTAGGCACCAGATCGCGCGTTTCGAATTCAGTCAAAGGCGTCTTTACATGGCTTTTGTTTGACTTGACGCTTTTCTTGACTCGTGTAGATGCGATGGAAGCAACAGTACCTTCAAGCAGCAGTGTGGTACAACCCAACAACAGTGTCACATCGCTCGTTGAGGGCAGCGCTTCTCCTTCATTCAATAAATAGAAATAATGAAGTCGAAATGACAATTAAGCATTTTACAAACCATACTCAATTACGCAACATTCAACCGATACCCTCACCTCCCTGCGACACGTTTACTCCAGCTCGTCGTGTGGGTAGATGTACGCGTCTTTTTTGTTGCTTCTCGTGTTTCGTAGAATGCCTTGAAAATGCGGGCAGCCAGGCCGCAATACTGTGAACGGACAGGCGTTCTACACTAAACAGGCACGCTTATTTCAAGCACACTAACCTATAAGAAACGGCGTGGCGTAGAATGTAGAAAGGAAGGCACGAGTCAGCCACCGCATTGAATGGCGCATCAGCAAATGGCCAGTTGCAAATAGCAATAGTATGTATCTCAAGTATGGGGACTGCCCTCTATTACAACGGATTTGTGTCACAGGATAACCAGATGAAATAATTGTTGAGCCGAAGAAGTGGTAGACAAATCTTTTTGTAGCAAGCTTTGGAGCAGGCAGACCGTGCGTCTTATGCTTGATTAAGGATATACAGTGTTATGACTATAGCCGAATTATATGCAAACGCCTGTTTCGTTTCTTGTGCTCATATCGTGTCATTTTGACACGTGAGCACAAATTAGAGGGCGAGGAGAGCTTTTATAGTGCTTTTATAGTGCCTATATATACCTATTTCGGGCGTTGTAGCCTCAATTCGTATAGGTGCCTGTAAATGTCTGTTTTCAAAATCGATGCCTATATAAACGCTATTTAACCTGAAATTTTGCTTTCAAGTACCGCTGAGCCCGGTATTCAAGTTACCGGGCAAAATATAGGTTTCGGGACACTGTGTGGTGCAAACTACTCTTTATTTCACGAGTTACGTTTAGAATTGTCAAACTCAGAAGGCATTTTAGCCAAGAGGGAGGTAGACTAGCCTCTACACATGTATACCAACCATGTCGCGTCGTCTGCTCAGCCTCTTTCCAATGTGCGCTCAGATGCGTAGGGAGCAGGAGGTGCCTCTGTACAGCGGCAGGAAGATGAAGAATGAATGCGAAACTGTGGAGAGTCATCAGGGGAAGTAAGGAAGTAGAGTGCAGATAAAAAAAGCAATATCTATGTAGTTTTTGTTTTTTGTTTGTCATTTACATGTGGTGCTTCACTGGGTCACCTGAAAATATTTATTTAGGCAGTGGAAAATGTTGTCACTAAAAACAATGTCACTAGGCCTAGTGACATTGTTCAAGTTATGACTCTCTCAAAGACGTTTGGTTTGATATGCATGAAGGCACATTAGAGAGTGCTTGCGTGAGTCTTAGGCGATATGACGTCACGCTTGTCACTATGATGACGTCACTGGACCTTGTGACAACGTTCAAGTTATTACTCTCTCAAAGACATTTCGTTTGATGTGCATGAAGACAGGTTAGGACACCGCGTGCGTGGGTGTCAGGCGTGATGACGTCACGCCAGTCACTAGTGATGACGTCACTGGGCCTTGTGACAGCGTTCAAGTTATTACTCTCTCAAAGACATTTCGTTTGATATGCATGAAGACAGGTTAGGACACCGCGTGCGTGTGGGATAGGCGTGATGACGTCACGCCAGTCACTAGTGATGACGTCACTGGGCCTTGTGACAGCGTTCAAGTTATTACTCTCTCAAAGACATTTCGTTTGATATGCA